AACTCTAGGAAAAACAAAATAAAGTCCCCCCCCAAAAAACAATCATAGTACTATACTTGGTTTATCAATAAATTACATATACATAATCATAGTAATGTAACCCTAGATTTCTAACTCAACCAAAATACATCACATAATTATACTGGAAGAATGGGAACATGGCAGTGATGGGGGGTGTGGAAGGTGGGTAGAAGGTATAAGAAAGCCTTCTAAATCTACCCATACACCAATTAAATAATTCAATAATATCCAAAATGAGTAAATCAAGAAATTGCAGTATTAACATATTATTTGTTAATATAGAAGTAAATACCCAAAGAAATATGAAAAGCATTAAAAGTAATTTACTCTGGGGACAACACTGAAAAGGAATGAGGGGTGGGAAGTTTACTACTTTTCATTATGAACATTGAATGACAGAATATATGTATTACTTTGATAAAAGTAAATTTTATTTTATTTTATTTTAATTTTTTTTTTTTTAATCCTTACCCGAGGACATTTTTTCCATTTTTTGTTCAGATAGAGTGGGAGGAAGAGAGAGAGAGAAACATCGATGTGAAAGGGACACATCTAGTGGCTGCCACCCGACGACCCAACCAGGGCCAGGGACAAACTACAACCGAGGTATGCTCCCTTGGCAGGAACTGAACCCACCCGGGTCTCTCTGGACCGCAGGCCGACGCTCCAACCGCTAAGCCAAACCGGCCAGGGTGTAAATTTTTTTTATTTATTCATTTATTTATTTTTTATCTTCACCTGAGGACATTTTCCTTTTTTGTTTTGTTTTTTTTCTCTGTTCAGACAGAGTGGGAGGGAGAGAGAGGAAGAGAGAGAGAGAAACATTGATGTGAAAGGGACACATGGAGTAGTGCCACCCGCACGACCCAACAGGGCCGGGGACAAACTGCAACCGAGGTACGTGCCCTTAGCGAGAACCAAACCCAGGTCTCTCTGGACCGCAGGCCGAAGCTCTTACTGCTGAGCCAAACCGGCCAGGGCATAAATTTTATTTTTTAAAATGACACACATTCAAACAAGTGTTGGCAAGGGTGTGGAGAAAAGGGGACTCTAGTACACTGCTGGTGGGAATGCAGACTGGTGTAGCCACTATGGAAAACAATATGCTGTTACCTCAAAAAATTAAAAATTGAACTGCCATTTGACCCAGTGATCCCACTTCTAGGAATATACCCTAAGAAGCCTGAAACACCAATCAGAAAGAATATATGTACCCCCATGTTTATAGCAGCACTATGTACAATAGCTAAGATCTGGAAACAGACCAAGTGTCCATCAGTAGACGAATGGATAAAAAAGCTGTGGTACATATACACAATGGAGTACTATGCAGCTGTAAGAAAGAAAGATCTCTTATCCTTTGAGACGACATAGATGGACCTGGAGAGTATTAACCTAAGTGAAACAAGCCAAGCAGAAAAAGACAAATACCACATGATCTCACTTATTTGTAGAATATAATGAACATAACAGTCTGAGGAATAGGGTAGACCCAGAAACAGGGAAGTAGGGTACAGACTGACAATCCCCAGAAGAAGAGGGGTAGGGGGGAGGAAAGAGATAAACCACAGAACTTATATGCATGTACACATAACCTATGGACATGGAAAACAAAGCTGGGGATGGGAGGGGGGATGGGGAGGAGAGTGTCAATGGGGTAAAAGAAGAGAAACATCTGTAACAAAAATAAAATAAAAACAAATAAATAAATAAAATAAAATGACACATATGAACCCTGGCTAAGTGGCTCAGCTGATTAGAGCATCGTCCCTTACATCAAAAGATTACAGGTTTGATTCCTGGTCAGGGTTGTAGAACTGATCCCTGTTCAGAGCATATACAGGAGGCAACCGATCAGTGATTCTTTTGCTCATTGATGTTTCTCTCTCTCTCGCTCTCCCTTCCTCTCTCTCTAAAATCAATAAACACATCCTCAGGTGAGGATTTTTAAAAAAATAATAAATAAATAAAAGTAAAATAATACACATGAAACATTACATATTATTTAAACTTATGTTTAAATGGTAAAAGGTTTAAAGAATTGTATTATTGCCTGACCAGTGTGGCTTAATGGATTGAGCATCATCCCATGGACGGAGAGGCCCTGGTTTGATCCAGGCTTCGGCAGTTCTAGTCCAGGCTGCACTAATAATTTCATGGTTGGCCCACATGCTAATGACCCCATTCATCTTCCCTAAGATAATAACAGGCTGAGCTGTGATTTTCAACAGCTGGAGCCCTGAGCAGCCCGCCGGCCAGGTGAATACTCCCGTCTATTGAAGCATCCACCTGGCCCTCAGCATGAGCCAGGAAGCCCCTGCCGGCTGGCTCCCCTGGCTCCACACTCAGTACCAGTCCTCTCCCAGCGCAATCTCACTAGAAAGAAGATGAAAGTGACTTTTTTTCAAGGTAATATTCCCATAACTGTGACAATTAATAATCCCCCCATAGTGAATGTCACATCTTCCCAAGAAGCCAGCAGCCATTAAGCCCTTACAATCTGTGAAGTCCCCAGGGTGGGGGTGCCTGGATATTCATGGCACCAAACCCTCCCTTCTCGGGTGCTAGAGGCTCTCTCTGTCCCGGGCAGATGCCAGCCTGTGTGAAACAAGCAGGCCGCTGAGTACACTGCCGAGTGGGCCAGGCTTGACTTGGACAGTCTCGGCCCAAATCCAATCTCTTCCTAATCAGGTTTAACTGAGATTAATAACCTCTCACCACTGGCACTAGGTATTTCATCAACAGACATCCTGTTAAGAAAAGTGCTCTGCCAGCCTCCAATCTGGCCAACAATTTCCTCCTCCTCCCTTCCCGCCCTGGCTCCCAGCCCACCAGACCACTCCACCCTACAGGAACAGAGAAAACACCAAGGGCACTTTCAAGACTCAGAGGATAGGCGATGCAAACGCAGACTGCTGTCGAGTCAAAGGTATCGAAGCCCTGGCATGAGACTCTGTGCCCCACTCTGATGGCCCTACAGGGAGATATGGGAAAGTTCTAGAAGCACTGTGGCCATCGATGTGTCTGGGATGGGCCAGCACTACGGTTAAATCTTCCCAGCTCTGCCCACCTTGGCTGACACACGAACTAAAAGTCAACATGAATCGTTTCCTCAAAAGATATTTGTTAAGCACCAGCCATGTACCAGGCACTATGCTGGGCACTAGAATTTAGTAGAGAATGTGAGGTCCTTGCTCAGGAGTTTAGCGTCAGGACAGAGAGACCCACTACGCCGATAATCTCACATGCAGATATGTCCCAAGGAATCTTAATAAAGGCTTTAAGTGAGAGTGTAGGGCATGAAGAGTGGAGAGAGGGAGCCCGATTTAGATTTGGGGTCAGAGAAGACCTCCCTATGGCCAACAGAAGGATTAGTGAGAATTAGCTGGACCTGGAGGAACAGAGCACCCCAGGCAGAAGCACAAACTGTTCTTGTCCCTGGGGTGGGACTGTGACAAGTGGTTAGAGCAGCTGACACAGGGTTAGCAAAGGGGACAGCAGAGCAGGGTTAGTCCAGGAGGTGCACAGAGGCTGGGTCGTGTCAGACTGGGCAGGCCACAGAAAAGGAGCTGGAGTTCCTCCCGAGCACAATGGGGAGTCACTTACTAATGCAGGACTGCTCTTTCTATGGTTTGGGGAAAACCTTACAGCACAGTCCCTGCTTTTCCCTCATGGGAAACACTTTCCTAGAATAAAGTAAATTCATTCATTCATGTGGCCAGTACATACCGAGGTAATAAGACTAACTCTTCCACACCACGAGTGAAATCAGTCTCACATGGTAAATGGTCCAGCATGTCCTAAGGAACTACTGGGCGCTCACTCTGCCTGGGCACATGGAGGCCACAGTAAATCCAAGATCCTGACCTCGACAGGTTGGATAGAAAGGGCAGGTCAACCTGAGGTTCCCTAAACAGGACTTTTGTTCTAATAGGGTTCTTTTAACTTAGGACTTCAGAAGGAAACAAAACAAGTTGAAAGGACCTGAAGTTCACCTTGCAATGAGAATTCTTAATATATATCAAGTGCCTGGTCAGTGTGGCTCAGTGGTTGAGTGTTGACCCATGCACCAAGAGGTCACCGGTTCCATTCCCTGTCAGGGCACATGCCCAGGTTGTAGACCCAATCCCCAGTGGGAGCACGTAGGAGGTGGCCAATCCATGTTCTCTCTCATCGATGTTTCTATCTCTCTCTCCCTCCCACTTCCTCTCTCTCTAAAATCAATAAAGAAAAAAAAATTTTTTTAATGTATCAAGCAATACTTTTCACATGGGCACACACGTATTTCAATCTCAGTCTAAGGTACTCGCTGCTAAGAGTGGTCCAGATAGTGCTGCAACAGTGAAGAGGAGGAGAGATGGATCTCTGCTTGTCCAGATAAAAAGCAAGACGTTCCCCATCTAGCTTACTTCATCCCCACTAACTCACACCCTGCACATGGGCTATTCACAGAAGCACTGTACAGAGGGGATCATCACTGAACACTTCAAAAACCTTCAACACTGAAGATGCTTTTTGTTTTTAATCCTCACCCAAGGATATTTTATCATTTATCTTCAGATAGAGTGGGGTTGGGAGGGGAGAGAGAGAGAGAGAGAGAAAGAGAGAGAGAGAGAGAGAGAGAGAGACAGACATCAACTGGTTGCCTCCCGCCAGACCCTGACCAGGGCCAGAAACTGAACCACAACCAAGGTACGTGCTCTTGACCAGAATCGAACCCGAGACTCTTTGGTCTGAGGGCCAACTCTCTAACCACTGAGCCAAACCAGCCAGGGCTGAAGATGCTTTTTGATGAGGCAAAGAAGGTAATAGCTTTAGTCCCAAGAGTCTGTATTCACACCAACAGACTGAGCCTTTAAGGTGACGAACCCTTAAGAACCGCTTTTCAAAAAAATTGGAAATGGATCCCTACCTTATCCCTTGAGGCATGAATACTGTGCTACCACCCAAACTGCAGCTATTAAAGGAGAGAACGTAAGATGACGGCCACACTGAAAGCCGCAGTCACCCACGGCCCCAGCTCACCTTTGAGCCTCCCCATCTGGGCTGCTTTCAATCAGGTTTGTCCAAACCTGCAGAAATGCCAGCACTAAACTGGATGCCTGCCTGTTCTCAGCACTCTCTTTCCTAAGCCCCTGGGTAAGCCAGAGGCCCCACATTCTTGTCCCATCTCACTCCTCTGTGAGGACACTGGGTAAGGAGTCCAGTCCCAGGAGTTTCTCTTTGCAGACGTCAGAGCAGGTGAAGAAGTGTGGACTAGGGCCTTTGGCTGGAGAAAGCAAGGGCTATAACGAGGATTGTGACTGCAGAGTTCTGAGACACTTGAAAAATATAAACACCAACAAACAAAGAAATTCATGATATAAACTCAAACCGTTCCCTCTTCTCACTCCCTACCGCCTTCGCCTGAATTTAGGGACTTGCCGTTTGTCTCCTGGACTATGGCAGCAATCTCCCTGCCTCCGGCCTTTCCCTTCCAATCAGCTCCCAGACTGGTACCATCCTGCTATCAGAGGGACTTGTCTCGAACTCAGGTATGGCTCTGTCACTACTACACTGAACTCTTCAACAACCACCCACTGCCTATTAGAGAAAGTCCAACCAAGGTTCCCAAAGTGACAACATGGCCTTCTATCATGCATCTCCTGTGACCTCCACTGCCTTGTACCCCCTCCTCCTCTCTTTCCCCACCATGCATGACCTTCCCACAGAACAGAAATGGACAACCTGGAACGTGCCACAGGGTTTCACGCCCGTGCCTTTGCGTTGCCGTTTCTCTGCCTGGGATGCTTTCTCCCCCAGCCTTATCCACTCCTAATTCTCCCAAAACACTAACTTAAATGTCCCCTCCCTTTGAAGCCTTCTCTGATCCTCTCTGATAACTGATCTCCCCCTCCACTGTCCAGTAGGACCTAAACACTGAACTTGCAAGTGCTGGTTTACAGATTTGTCTACCCTGGTAGCCTTGAGATCCTTGGAACACAGATTAAAATTCCATCCTTCTTCAGTCTCTTACCCAGCACGTAGAACGAAAGGATCATTTCGTAATTAGGTAGAATCATTCCCATTTTACAGTTGAGAAAAACTGAGCCCTAATAGAGGTGAGTGCCCGAAATCAGTTTATCCAACTCCTACTCCAGAGTATTTCTCACAAGGGTTTCCTTCCCACATGGGGCTGGGCCTGCCCATCTCTGCAGAAGGTGACACCGTAAGTCCCATTTGGCCAGAGTCATGTGACACAGAGGTCTCTGGGGTCAGGGTGTCAAAATCAAAACACAGGGCACTTCAATGTTACCTCAGTGCCTTTTTCTCCCATTTCCAGGGAGCTTACCAGACTCCCTGGCGGAAGTTCAGCTCCAGACACCTAGACTCACCCAAGTTCCTAAGGTCCAGGGAAGGCCTCATTCAAAGCGCTGTTTGCCTACAAGTGGAAAGGTGGCCTAGCTGAGTGGCCTTGAACAGAGGGTCAAGGGACAGACATAGTCCTGGGCTGAGAACGCCTACATTCTCCACATCGTCTTAACCTCCCAGAGTCATGAGTACAGAGAAGGCCATTGGGAGGGAGCCTCTAATTATCTGCAGGTGTCCCAATTAAGTAGCACTGCCTCCCCAATTAGCAGCCCCTTCCATTGGAAATCATTAGGCTTAATTCCATTTCCCAGGAAACATCTTAAGCAAGCAAGCTCTGTCCCCAACTCCTGAGACAGCCAGACTCCTGCTGACGTCAGCCTGGCCCTATCTGGCCTAGATGATGATGCTAAATTGGGCTCTGGGTCAATTTCCCAATTAAACACGTCCCTTTAATTACACTGTTTGCTAATGTTTAGCCAGACCAAGGGTCTATGTCTCTTAAATTACTTACTAAAGGTAGAGCACATTCAAAGAAGGGCCCTCCCTAAACAAGGAGATAATAAAGGAGGAGATACATTTGTAAGCATACGCCACAAAAGTATCTGTTATAAAAAATAAATCTGGAACACCACAGGATGAGAGCTACAAAGCATGGCCTGTTTTCAAGATATTAAGAGCCCTGGCTGGTGTGGCTTGGGGGGAGAGCATCAGCCTGTGGACCAATGAGTCACGGGTTCAATTCTGGTCAAGGGCACGAACCTCAGTTGTGGTTCGTCCCTAGCCCTGGTCAGGGTCATGCAGGAGATGACCAGTCGATGTGTCTCTCTCACGTCGATGTTTCTCTCTCTCTCCATCTCTCTCCCTCTCTCCCCCTCTCTCTTCCTCTCTCCCTCTCTCCCTCCCTCCCACTCTATCTGAAGATAAATAGAAAAATATCCTCGGGTGAGGATTTAAAAAAAAGATATAAGACAAGAAAGACTTCATTGTCAAAGCCAGAGGAGCCCCCATTTTTCTCCCTTTTCTCTCCCTTTTCTTCCTTCGCTATCCCCCAGAACTATTACACTGAGGGGAGAATCATAGGACAGAAGAGACCTTTCCAGATGCAGAGGCCCATAGATGGCTTTTCAGGTTCCCAGTCTTTGAATCCAAATGTCTCAGTCGAGAGGGGCGGGGGGAAAAGAGGATTCAGAGTTGCCCTAACCTCCCAGAGTCATGGGTACAGACGCTGCCAAGACACTGTGGTCTGTTACGCGACAGCAGGAATGCGAAATGCTGACCACCAGATTTGTAATTTTTCTAAGATCCTCCTCCTTGGTCTTATCCAACTCTCTTGCTACAAATTCGCAGAGCCCATTCTCATGCTGACAAGGGGTTTGCCAACAAAGAAAAAGTTTATTTCCCCTTCACTTGGTTACTTTACACCAGCCTGAAATCCTTCAAAGTTTAGCAGTGCAGTCTTCCTCCCGCCACCAGCAGAGCATCCTCCTGCACTCCCCTGGTTTCTTCCTTCCTTTTGCTTCTCTTTCAACAGACTTAAACCTCCAGGACACATGGCAATTAAAATGCCAAAAATTAAAGCCCTGGCCGGCTTGGTTCAGCGGTTAGAGCGTCGGCCTGCGGTCCTGAGAGACCCGGGTTCGGTTCCCGCTAAGGGCGCGTACCTCGGATGCAGTTTGTCCCCGGCCCTGGTCGGTTGTGCGGGTGGCAGCCACTCGATGTGTTCCTTTCACATCAATGTTTCTCTCTCTCTCTCTCTGTTCCTCTCTCTCCCTCCCACTCTACCTGAACAAAAAATGGAAAACTGTCCTCGGGTGAGGAAAAAAAAAAAAAAAAAAAAAAAAAAAAAAAAGCCAAAAATTAAAGACAAAGAAAAAAATCCTAAAAGCAGCAAAAGATAAGTAACAGTTTACTTACAAAGGAACCCCCATAAGGCTATCAGCTGACTTCTCAACAGAAACACTACAGGCCAGAAGGGAATGGCATGAAGTAATTAAGGTCATGAAAAACATGGATCTGAATTCAAGCCTACTCGACCCAGCAAGGCTGTCATTCAAAATAGAAGGTCAAATAAAGAGCTTCCTAGACCAAAAAAAAAAAAAAAAGGCTAAGGGAATACATTAACACCAAACCAGTACTGCAAGAAATTTTAAAAGGACTGCTGTAATTAGTAGAAGAAATAGGAAGAAAAATATAACCAAACTAAACAAATATGGCAATAAATAAGTACATATCAACAATCAACTTAAATGTAAATGGACTTAATGCTCCAATATAAAGGCACAAGTAGCTGATTGGATAAGAAAGCATCACATCTATAAGTTGTTTACAAGAGACCCACCTCACAACAAAAGACTCACATAGGATGAAAGTGAAGGGATGGAAAAAAATCTTCCAAGCAAACGGAAAGGGAAAAAAAGTTGGAGTAGCAATACTCATATCTGATAAAATAGATTTCAAAATGAAGGTCATAACTAGAGACAAAGAAGGCCACTACATAATATTGAAAGGATCTATCCAACAGGAAGACATAACCTTGATAAACATATATGCACCCAATATAGGAGCACCAAAATATATTTAAAATCTTCGGGAGGACTTCAAAGGAGAAATTGATAGCAATACAATCATAGCAGGGGACTTCAACACCCCACTGACATCACTGGATAGATCCTCTAGACAAAAAAATAGCACAGAAACAGAGACTCTAAATGAAGTGCTAGATCAAATGGATTTAATAGCTATCTACAGAGAATTACACCCCAAAACTACAGAATTCACATTCTTCTCAAGTGCACATGGGACATTCTCAAAGATAGACCACATGATAGGACACAAACTAATCTCTACAAGATCAAGAAGACTGAAGTCATATCAAGCATCTTCTCAGATCACAATGGCATGAAACTAGAAATCCATTGCAGCAAACACATTTGAACACATGAAGGCTAAATAGCATGTTATTAAACAATGAATGGGTTACCAAGGAGATCAAGGAAGAAATTAAAAACTTCCTGGAAAACAATAAAAATGAACACAAAACAACAAAAAAATCTATGGGATGCAGCAAAAATAGTTCTGAGAAAAAAGTTCATAGCATTAGAGGCCTACCCCAAGAAACAAGAAAAATTTCTAATAGACTATCTAACCTCACAACTTAAAGAATTAGAAAGCAAACAAAAACAAAACCCCAGAGCAAGTGGAAGGAAGGAAATAGTAAATATCAGAGCAGAAATAAATAACATAGAGACAAAAAATAATAATAATACAAAGGATCAATGAAACAAAGAGCTGGTTTTTCAAAAAGATAAACAAGACTGATGGACCCTTAGCTAGACACACCAAGAAACAAAGATAGAGAACCCAGATAAACAAAATCAGAAATGAAAGTGGAGAAGTAACAACTGACACCACAGAAATAAAAAGAACGTTAAAAACTACTATAAACAATTGTATGGCAACAAATGCGACAATCTAAGCGAAATGGACAAATTTCTAGAAACACAGAGTCTCCCAAAACTGAACCAGGAAGAGATAGAAATCTTGAACAGAACAATAAAAACAGAAGAAATTGAAGATGTAATCAAGACTCTCCCACCAAACAAAAGCCCAGGCCAGGATGGCTTCCCAGGGGAGTTTTACTGAACATTCAAAAAAGAACTAATACCATTCTCCTCAAACTATTTCAAAAAATTCAAGAAGGAAGACTTTC